GTGAAAAAATAAATAAGTAACGAAATTTTAAAAAGGATCAAGTATGTTTACATTATATCCTAAATATGCACAAATGAAACATATTGTTTCCGAGTAAGCGCGCAGAAGCATCTACACATAAACACCCATAAACATTGTCTACCAACCAACTTAGGAATGAGTGCCATCTTTCAGTGAACCAACGTCTCAGCTACCTGCTTTTTAAATATTTAGATTTATTTTCACACGCTAAGGTATTTATTTTAATAGAGCTTTCCCAATATTTCTCATCGTAGTCATAAAGAGTCGAAAAAACTTGTCTGAAATTGAAACTTCCTTATCGGAGATTTCAGATTGGGATCAACTAAATCTAATCCATTTTAACCCAAAAAAGACACAAGTTTGTGCGATAAAGAAAATACCGTTTGTCGTATCACCTAGGTTTGAGAGCACCTCCTTAACGACCTCAGCCAGTATTGGAATCCTAGGCATCGACACATCGAGCGAAGTTCAGTTTCGGGGTCACTTAGAGAGTAAGGTCAATTGGCCTCGAAGAAACTCGGTGTGCTTAACAGATCGGGGTAGTATTTTACTCCATCCCACTGCCTTCAGCTCTATAAGGTGCAAGTCCGGCCGCATATGGTATACTGTTCTCATCTCTATGCAGCGCAGTACCAGCTTCTCCCTCTGGACCGTATTCGACGAAGAGTGACTAGAATCGTCGATAGCCCAGAAATCTCCGATCTATTCGACGTGTTACGTAGAGATTCAGCTTCACTCTGCATTCTCTCTCGTGCATTTCATGGAGAGTGCTCTAATATTTTTTTAAACTTATGCCGGTCTCGACTTGTCGCCATCGTTCCACAGGATAAATTTTTTATCCCCGTCACTTGGATAATTGGCACTCCACCACTGTTCAAGACACTTTTTGCCTCGCACACCCTTCGATTCGATTCGACTCGACCTTCTTTTTAAGCGTACGAAAGATGTTTGTCTATCGATGTATCCGCAAATACTCGTATCACAAGCACACTGTACCTCTTCTCCAACCTTCGGGTAAAAGAGAAGACAAATGTCTGTTTTTTTTAGCTATTCTTTATTTTGTGATAATTTGGAGTGTAATAATTTACTAACATATGATAACAAAAGGTCATATAAACAATTTATGTAATAAGTGATATGGTTATCACACTGATATACTACAGAATACATAGTTATTGAAGAAAAATTTATGTTAGCGATTGATATTTATTTTATTTTATTTTATTTTGTTTGGAAAACATACAGTGTATATAACAAAGGATACAACATGTGTTAACAGCAATATAATCTATATGTTTTTAATATGTTAACTTGGAGTCGTGAATAACTCCCAGGTCTCGGACCTCATCCACCTGCTGCAACACATGACCCCTAATAGAATACGTAAAATTAATTTTTTTGGCTTTGCGAGTGAAGGTAATGAAATGACATTTATCAACATTTAAATCTAATTTATTAACCAAGCAATAGTATTCAAATCTATCCAAGTCTTCCTGAAGTTGGCGACAGTCATTTATGCAAGTAATGTTTTTGAATATCTTCATATCGTCGGCATAAAGCACAAATTTTGAATATTTTATACATTGGCTGACGTCATTTATGAATAAATTAAAAAGAAGTGGTCCGAGTAATGAGCCTTGCGGCACGCCGGAAGAGACGTTGCACCAGGTGGAACAGAACCCCTTTAGTACTACTGCCTGACATCGATTCTCAATATATGAAGCAAGCCACCGGTAAAGGTTGCCGTGGACTTAACGGATGGACGTAAAATACTTTTACAGAAACTACTTTTTGCGGGATCAAAAAGTAGTTTCTGTAAAAGTATTTTATGGTCAATGCGGTCAAATGCTTTACTGTAGTCAGTGAAAATTGCATCTACCTGTCCACCGCCATCCATGTTTGATGTCGTAAAGTCCGTAAAAAGTATTTGATAAAGTTGATCGTTGTCTAAGGAAGCCATGCTGTTCGTAACTGCTTCATAAAGTTGTGAATACACAATCTTCTCCAACACCTTTGCAAAAACACATAACTTTGAAATAGGCCTGTAATTTTTAGCTATTTGTTTCCGTTCTTGTGTATAGGGGTGATAAATGCTGACTGACAAATTCTAGGTACTAGTCCCTCTGAAATCGACCTTTTTCGACTGTATGGTAAGAGGCTCGACTAAGCATGCAGCACATTTAGCAATAAATAGAGGTACAATTTTATCGGTACCGGCCCCTTTCGATAGATCGAGAGATTGAAATAGTTTCAGAACTGCATCAGCATCAACCACTATATCACCTATACAATCTGGTACGTCATTGTAAGACACAGGAGTTGGTAAGGAAGACGTTGACGGCGGAAGAAAGTTGGAGTAAAAGTGTGCAGCAAAAAGATTACATATTTCAACACCTGTGTCGGCTGACCGACCATTATAGCAAATTGTCTAGGGTAGTGAATTGGATCCATTTCTATTTGATTTAACATAGGACCAGAAATGCTTGGGGCATTTAATTATTGCATCTTCAGAGCGAGATATATACGAGATATAACACTCGTGTTCCATACGTTTAGCTCTTTCCCGAAGAAGGCAAAATGTGTTGTAGTCACTAGAATTACCATGTATTTGATATTTTTTATTTTTATAAAATTTATATTTTTCCCTAAGTATTTTTTTCAAAGGACTGCAGTACCACGGTGGAAAAGAATTAGAGGAAATTACTTTTTGGGGTATCGATTGATCTATGACGTCATAAAGGTGTTTATAAAATGTATCTACTGCGTCCTCTAAAGCGATATTGTTTAAACATGTATGCCAATTTATGTTACACAGTGATAATTTGATAGCTTCATAGTCCCGTTCTTCATAACAATATTTATAGCGGGGATTACTCTTTAAATGACATTCTTTCGAAAACTTAATAGTATCATTTAAAGATTTATGGTGAGAGTCTTCAGGCACTAACGAGTTGCTACATGACGCGACAGTTACTCTGTGGTTACATATTATGTAATCGAGTATTCTACCATTTGTGTTTTTTGCAAGATTATATTGATTGAGGCCACATTCGGATAAGGTATCAAAAAAGTACGCTTGAGATGTACCAGTAATCCCGTTCGCCTGCAAGTTACTCGGTTCACCGTACCAGTCTATATGATTTAGGTTAAAGTCACCCATTATCAAAAATAAATCATTTGGATGAGAGTTCACAATTAACGAAAGGTTTTGGGTAAAGTTCTGCAATTGTATATTGAAAGAATTACCAGACTTCTCACTGCAAAGGTATATTGTACATACGTGTAAGTGGGTCGAACTACTAAGCGATGTTCGATGCTTTAAAGTAATGGTAACCCAAATATCTTCAGCTGTAGAACGCCATTCAGGGCGCTCAACAGCAGCGAACTCCCTACGTACAGCTAGAAGCACCCCACCTCCCTACCTCTCACGCGTCGCCACATAATCCCTGTCCCGCCTCCAAACGACATATCTCTCATCAAACAACTCCCGGTCGTAAATACCCTCTAGCAGCCAGGTCTCGGTTAAAGAAACGATGTCATATGATGAGAGAAGGATATTACGCTTGAATAAGTGCGTTTTAGTGCGTAGGCCTCGAGTATTCTGATAATACATATTTAAATTAGTGGTAGCCATTGATACAAGGTAAACATAAACTCCAGAGAAGCATATTAAAACAATGATTACTTAATTTTATAGATAAAACACCACGCAATACTAAAAACGTGGTTAAAATGTAAAATTCGTTATCGTAACAGACTAAGACAGTGCCGTAGAAATATAAATTATGCAATAATATAACACATAAAATATCAATTACCTGTGGTGAATAGATAAGTAGTAAACAACATGTAAAATACTTCACAATAATGCCAATCCATATCATTTGGTTTATAGTATAAAAAACACAATAGTTTACAAACATCCATAAGAAGTATTGACATCGATATAAAAATGATTTCGAACTAATACAAGTGAATGTGTACACAATAATGAACACTATGTGAGCGCTTGAGCGCGTGAATACATGCGAGAACATATAGTACTGTGTACTTACGTGCGTTAATTGATTAGCTCGACATCTCGGACAGCGCTCATAGATCGTCAAACAAAATGCAGGTAATATGCAAATGGTTCTCAAACTGTGTACGTGTTTATTCAACACACGGTACAAAATATTAACTTTAAAATAAAAATTTAGACAATCCTCGCCAAATGTTTTTCGCAGCGTATAAAAAACACAGGGGAACTGTCGGTCTTCCTGGCCATGATTTTGGAGTGTTTCACCCAGATATATTGGATCTTGCACTACTCAATAGTTTCTTGTTCCGCTGCGTCAAGTGATCGTTGATATAAAAGTTATTAGGCGATGAAAAACCCAGGTTGGAAAGTGTTAGCCTTTTACATTTCCGTGAGGATGCAACCAGTTCTTCCTTTATATATCTATTGTTAAAAGCTATAATAATTGGTTTCTCCGGGTTCGGTACGAGTGTAGAAACCCGGGCAATATAGTTTATTCCTTCTTTCCTTATGGGAAATTTACAAAGATTGCCAATTCTCTGGGCTACATCATACATTTAACATTAAACACAGTTTCGTTTTTAATCTAATCATGAACTACTGGTTCGAATTGACAAAATCTTTTAGAGTTGGATAGCCTGTTTATCGAATAATGCTATAGGCTATATAACATCACGCTATCACTAATAAGAGCCAAGTAATTGTAAAATTATTGCAAAAACGGGCAAAATGTAGTCCTTTTGAGTCCACAGAAGAAAAAGATTGTACAGATTTTTATAATAATACGACACGGAATAGTTTGTATTACAGAAACCAATATTTAAATTTACTTTTCTATCCGACTACCAAAGAAATGTTTTTTAATAATTTAATAAACAATATTTCAGTAAAGGTTATTTTTAAAATAACTATACATTCTTTCATATTAAAAACGAAAACTACAAAAATAAATTACACTTACCTTCACTTAAATTTTACCACCAAAAAATCAAACACGAATTATATTTGTTTTAATCAAAGTGTTACAACAAGTTGCAGTGAGTTTGCATGCGCGTGAGTGACTGAGCCTCTGATCTGTTACGAAAGTAAGACATGGCCCTCTCGGCAATCTATCGATGTACAATCATTTATGTGTTAATGACAACGCACGCTTTGGGTACACACACACATTCGGGTACTGGTTTTGTGCGATTTTATCGAGATATTTATGATATCGGAAAACTTCAGCAACCTTTTGCAATAGTAACGCACGGGAAAGTGACTATCCGGCATTATCGGTTCGGAAATTATTTGTATCTATCTATATCTATGCATATAATAAAAAAGTTGAAAAGTGTCTGTACATTAAACTTTTTTAGATATTAGAAACTCAGAAAAAACCTAGAGAGCAATAAAAAGAACAAAAAGAATTTTCTTGAATTTTTGTCTGTCTGTCTGTATGTTTAGAGTTAACATCTGCAATAGTTGTTAGTCTCGAGAAACTCTGACCTATCAGGGGATGGGGCCCGAAATGTAGGATATAATTTTATTTTTGAGTTAGAGATTTGAAAAAGAGTTTAGGGGAACAATCACCATGTCGGGGCACCAGGGACTTCCTTTCTAGGGTATACTTGGTTCCCCGGCTATTAGTACCCGAGACGGCGTACGGTTTTAGTCGGTTCGAGTCCGACATGCAACCGATAGGTGGTATCCGAGGGGCTTTCCGCACGGAAATAAAAAAGAAAAAAAAAGGGTACAATCACAAGTTCAAAAACATGTTTATAATAAAATTAATAACGTCACACGTCTCACACACAGCAGTTTCATTCCAAACAAGGCAGAGCCAGTACTATGATAACTGGCCTATCGGTCTTGTGGTTAGTGACCCTGACTGCTACGCCCGAGGTCGTGGGTTCGATTCCCACCCAGGTTCTGTCTAGTTTGGGATCAGACGGCCGTATGTGAGATGTGTGAAAATATTATATTATATTATTAATAATGTTTTGTGCCGCCAGAATTTAGCACGACACGAATACAATTAATGATCCCTGATAATACCTAAAACCAAATTTAACGCGTGCGAAGTAGCGGGCCCAGCTAGTGAATAATAAATAAAAATTAATAATTAACTTAATCAATTAACATAACACAATAATTCAAGTTGCATAAAAATAGATGGAGACAATTTCTACCAACTCTAGCAGAATTCCCAGGGGTCAACAAATCAATTACCTACATTACTATTTCAATTTTGGATTGACCCTGTCATATTATCTCCCATAACAATGTTAATACATGTTATCTTTCAAAGATAAGCCAGAAAATAATATATTATCTTCTACGAAACTGATCATGACTTGTCTTTTTAGGAAAGTAATTGATACAGTGATGCAGAAGTATATAATATATATATATATATATATTTATCTAATATATAAAATTCTCGTGTCACGGTGTTAGAAGTTGAACTCCTCCGAAACGGCTCTACCGATTTTCGTGTAATTTTGTGTGCAAATCCGATAAATCTGAGAATCGGCCAACATCTATTTTTCATACAGCATTTTTTTTTTTTAAATAATGTACTGCTACTGCTGTTGCTTTGATGATATTTCCACTACATGGTAACCTGGAACTTGCTGCTGCATCAAGTAGTCTGTGGGATAGCCAACTCTTCACAAAATTATAGTATAATAACCATGTTTGGGCTTTATACTGATTTTTTGTGTCGGATATTTTTTAATATTGTGTAATATACAGTCACTGCTTTACTCAAGCGATATCGTGTGATCTGAAGGCAGTAAAATAAAAAGGTATTACTAAGACTAGCAGATTACTCTTTCAATTTTGCGAATATTCAATCACTTTAGAGTTTAATAATTTATGACGAAAATACCTTTTATGACAGTTGCAAAATTGAGAGTTGATTGGAACTAAATTTTACCCAAAGTTTTAGTACGAGATTTGCCTTTTGATTCACTTGAGTATTGTTTTGATATTTTGGAGTTTTAATCAGATTAGGACAAAAATTAGTGAGTTTGTCAAAAGCAATCTTCCCTAAAGACCTCAAAAAGGTTTAAATCCGTTCAGTTTATTATTAAAAAGTTTCTCCTCATTTCATTCAAAAGTTCTCATTTGAATTTCTATGTTCCAATTACAACAGAACCCTCCGTTCCTCAAAGAAACCATTTCTGTTATGACCCACTCATACTTCCGCATGTGTCCACTCTTCGTCTGGATTCTGTCCTCCTGTGTGACGCTCTGCCTTTGGAAATCAGGATAGCACCCAGCTGCCTTTCATTTGAGACGAAAGTCCGAGCTCGAATTCTCGACACTCCAGCAAATTTATTACATCCTTAAAGTTTGATATAGTGTATTATATGTATATGTATGTAACTCAGCAAGTATATATATATGTGTATCTCAGTATGTATGTATATCTGTCACACTGGTTCTGTCCATATCCTTAATTATGTGCTAGATGCACTAGAAATTAAGTTTTATATGTAACGAGATAACTCAGACATTTCCCCACCACCTAAAGGTGGACGGAGAAAATGCCTGTGGCATTAAGTCCGCCTTTGTACAATGAATTTTGTTTGTGCAAAAATAATAAAATAAAATAAAGAAGACGTTAAAGTTTATTATTAGTACTTGACATGAATGGGCATTGCGGCACAATGGGCATTGAATACCGAAGATGTCGAAGGAAGGCCCATTTTTTTTTAATTTTGACCTAAATAATCAAAAAATACAATATGTTATTATTAATTAATATGTATAATACGTTTTTTAGATGCAAAGAGGAAAAAACAATAATGTTTTGTTCCAAAATCCTTTTTGTTCAGTTCCAGTTAAATAATTTAGTAAATAGTTTGTTTTTTATTAGTTAGTTTGGTAAGAACTAGTTTATACTATTTATTAGCTACACAAACCGCTCATTAAATCAGGCAACAGCTTGATGTGACACCAGATGTATACAAAAAATTGATGTCGATTTAACAATAAATTCAGATAAACAAAACACAAAACGCTATTCTTACTGCCGCACGCATGGCATCAGTCATGTGGATGTCAAAAGAAGTGGAAATTGTTATTAGAAATAGCTTTAGCACCTTTTTTGTTATTCTCTTTCTGAATTAACATAGTTATCAGTATTTATAATTTTGTACTACATTTTGTAATCCTACACGTCAACAAGAACTGATAACATCGAGACACACTTTCAGTAATTCAACAGATAATATTCCTGATATTCACAGATATACAAAATTATCAAATAAATCTTTTCTTTCTTTCTTTTCTTTTTTTAAAGACAACTCCCGCATTAGGAATATAACCTGTGTCGCGGGGGACTTTACAAACATACATGAAATGGACACAAAGAATACCCAGACTCAGAACAAAAACTTGTGGATCAATCAAAGTGTCGTCCCATGTGGGGTTTGCATCTTCAACACTCGGCGTAGTAGGAAGCGGCGCGGCGTTATAGTGCAGAAGCTTTCACTAAATTGTTAGAGATAAGAGTTGTTGTATACCATAATGGTTGTGTTGAACACATTAAGACTTTACACAGTCTGCAACATAACATTAAGAGAATGTTATTTATACTCAAACTAAGCGTAGCTGGATTCTAGAACAGATGCGTAGATGGCCGGTCTCTATTCAGTTCCGATCAACTTTCGATCTCACAACTGTCATAAGAGGTATTGTCGTAGTAAAGTATGATACATTCAACGTTGACTGTAAAGTGATTATATCGTATTGTAACCGAAAATTAAATCGCTAATCTGCTAGTCTTATTAATACATTTTTAATACGAAAATATGTTTTAAGACAGGAGTTAAGAAAGTTGATCGGAACTGAATTGTGACTGAACTTTTGTTACAAGAATTGGCCTTCAGATATTATATTATAGTACCTCGCCTCGTCGTAAATCGTCCGAGCCGTTTCTAAGACTCATTTTATATATATATAAATATACATATGTACAAGAATTGCTAGTTTAAAGGTATTAGATACTTGAAAGATGAATGTCCTTAACAGGAACCGATCCTGTTACTTTTTATATTACAGTCTAATGAATTAATTTTAGTGTAATTGTTAGTGTTGTAGTTAAAGTAATGAATTACAATTTCATTCATCATCTAATGGATCCCAATATCCACATTTAGAACCTAAATTATTTTCCTGTTACTACAAAGTAATTTAGGTGAATGATTCAACAAATTTGATAACTTAGTTGGATTAAGAAATGTAGAACACTGAAGCTACGCCGATAAATATTTCCTTTGAAGTAGTATTCGCCAACATATTTTAGAAAACATTTCAATTATTTTGTGTTTGATTACAGTCTATCTCTGTTAATTTCAATCTGACCCGTTTTTGAAAGAAGACGTAGAATATTCGACTATTATTTCAAGTCAATATAAACAAGTCATTGATTGCAGCCATTGGTTAAAGTTACATGAGTAGTGATAGCATTGGCGGTCCCTGTAACACATAAAGTCTCTTGTTTTCAGCTTTTTCCTCGTGGTATCTTTACGTTCACTGCAATTCCAACATACCGGAATGTGTGAAGTATATATTGTGCAGCGACGAATGACATATTATACTGTTGGGTCCCAGGTCCAGGTCCAGGTCAGGCACGCACACTTCAGGTATGACTGTATCAGTACACGGAAACGCACATCTATAGAATGGTATTGGGCTCCTCAGTGTGAGTATTTATTTACCCCTCCCAAAGAATTTCAAAATGTAAACAAATGCTTGTCTACATGTAATTTGTAACGCAATGATTTCTAAATGTAATATGTCCTGTAAGTAATTTACGATTATGTAGGTTACCTAACTACCGGGATGGGCAGTAAGATTCTTCTTCTGTGAGGACGTTATGCTTCAGAAGGAGGCCGCAGAGCGGGAACGGGAGAAGGCCGATACCGAAGGGGACGCGGCAGAGGTCGCTAGCTCCCCATGTGACTGCTGTAAACGACCCGAGACAGATGACACTCCGGTGCGGCCGGGGAGGGGGGTGTCGTCTAAAGCGTGACGCTGTTAAGCCTTTTACTATGTAGAGCAGTGAGACGTGCGGCAGCGTCCTGCCCCAGAGTGACTACGGTCACCCCGGGATGTGCCTCAGGCATGAGGTACAGCAGGCAGGACTTCAGCAGTCGCCGATGCGTTCCTGGAGCTCCTCCCAACTGCCGAGGTCCCCCGCCGGGGAGTTTAGTGGGTAGACCGGTTCTCATGGAGTCCCACACACGCCCTGCGTTTTCCTAACGAAGGCTATGGTGCGAAAAGCATTATCCTCGTTAAAAAAAAAGTTTACCTTACCTTACGCACGGATGGCGTAGTGGTTTAAGCGGTCGCCACGCCGCTTCCTACTACGCCGAGTGTTGTGGGTTCAAACCCCACACGGGACGACACTTTGTGTGATCCACAAATTGTTGTTTTGAGTCTGGGTGTTCTTTGTGTCCGTTTCATGTATGTTTGTAAAGTCCCCCGCGACACAGGATTTATTCCTAATGCGGGAGTTGTCTTTTTAAAAAAAGAAAGAAAGAATTGTTAAATTTTATTACTTATTTCTATATCACATATAAGAAACTGCATCGTAATTTGGCCTAATCGCTCATAAAACATGTTTATAATACTGACTATTCTTCTGAATGATAATAGGGCCTTATGAGCTTGATTTCAAGTCGACCTCAATAACATTCCCTCGATAACTGTTACCCTTGATAACTGTTCAAAGGATAAGAGTACAAAGTGTTACTGTATTATAGAGCGATTAGATAACGCTAATTCCGTGATTAATCTTTTGTAATACGGATTCAATAATCCATTGAACCTCATTCATATATCAGTATATACTTAGTTATATCAAATCAAATGCCTGTAATTTCACCTAATTGTATCATTTTGCCACGATAAACAATTAGGAGAATGCTTGCAATTACATGAATAGTTCAATTGTCTTGCAAATTATAGTTTAAATCAAAATATTTGATTATTCACATTAATTTATTCGTTATTTAGTTGTAATTTATTCACTTTAGATATAAAGTAGTGGACTCAATATTACTTGCAAGAATTTTCTTTACCATAGCATTAATGGATTAAATCTACTTCCATTAAGAAAACAATCAAAATGGTCTTGTCTACCCGGCGATAGATTAAGCCGCTCTTTGTTAAAAAAATCCTTCAAAATCTCCTTCACGTCTTAGGGTTTTTATCATCATTATAGTGAAGTAAATTTTGTTGTACAAACAAAAACTAATTATGTTTTTAAAGCCACTAATCTTCAGCAGCAGCACCATAATTTATAATTGCTGGAGATAAAATAAAATTTTTGTTTTTGCTTAGTTAAGTAATCAAAGGGAGAAAGCTACGCAGAACAACAGCCCTGCAGAGAGAAGGAAAACTTGACACAAACCCTATACCAAACCGTCTGGCCAGCGTGGTATAGTAGGCCAAAACCTCCTTTCTAAGGAGAGGCCTATGTCCAGCAGTGGACTATTAAAGGCTGTTGATGTGATGTGAAGTAATCGAAGCAAATCAAGGGCTGATGACAATCTATACTTCCATACTTATATGACTGTCACGGTGGTGCAGTGGCAGCGTATGCGACTGCTGTGCTGAGGTTCTGGGTTCGATTCCAGGGTCAGATCAAATGTTGTCCGCAAACGTTTGTTTCGGCGTTTGGATGTTTTCTATGTATGTAGTTATTTACAAAAAAAGGAAGTATGTATGTATTCTATCAGTTTGAAATTAGTGTATTAGCGAATTAAATAAAAATAAAACAAAGAGTTAAGAGAGGAGGTCTATGTATCTCCGGTAGAAAAAAATCCTTAAAAAACCGCTTTTCTGTAAGGTCGTGGTATCACTCTGGTCGAGCCAACCCATATCTGCCAAAGAATGACTCTCACACGATTGTTGCTGTAAATTATAGTTTAAAACCATTTTCTATTGGTACATTACTTTAAATGTGAAGAGTTCATGTAGTAAAATGATATTGGGTTTATACTCGTAGGTGTTTGAACTCATTATGCTACCAATACTTTATAAGTAGCTGTTTTTTAAAGTACAATGTTCACGCCTATGCGTAGGTGTGTTAAGGAAATATGTCTAGACAAACACTAATTATAATTTTAAATATATGTTTGAAGTCACAATGTTCGTTTAACTTGTCACTGGACCCGTTACAATCTGTACGTTCGCGGATAGTTCGTGAGAGCAAGTGTGATGAGGTCATGACGAAGTCGACTCGCGCGCATCCCCGCGCAGAATTGCATGATGTTGACGCGGTTCCTCCACCGGCAGTGTTGCTAGGCGCAGGGCGTATCATACAGTTCTGGTAAAATAAAATGCTCATAAATAAATAAAAAAACAATTGTTAATAATGTACGTATATTATTGTACTATAGATAACAATTATTATCTATATTAATGCACACGTATGCATTACTATAGTAAAGTAATAAATCCTAATCCAATAATGACTGCACGGATGGCGTAGTGGTTTAAGCGGTCGCCACGCCGCTTCCTACTACGCCGAGTGTTGTGGGTTCAAACCCCACATGGGACGACACTTTGTGTGATCCACAAATTGTTGTTCCGAGTCTGGGTGTTCTTTGTGTCCGTTTTATGTATGTTTGTAAAGTCCCCCGCGACACAGGATATTTTCCTAATGCGGGAGTTGTCTTTTTTAAACAAAAAGATAATAAACGGTTTATTTTTTACATTTTAACTCTTCCAATTTACCTCTGAATAATTTCGTTGCGGGTTCCAGGACAGTTTAACTTTTCCTGGGATTTCCCGAATGTAATAACATGGTGTGTTCGTGGTTCACTGCTGTTGATCCTGGTATACAGAAGTGACAGTAGTGGGTGTGTGGGAGAGATTAGTCTCATTAGGAAAAATTACTGTTGCAATAAGTTCTTTTGTTGTAGCCACTCGTAACAACCGTCGATCTCCAAAGTGATACCAAAAAAAAAACTGTCAATACTCATTTGCAAGCAACTTAATTACTATTTTGATTAAAAAAGGGTAAGTACAAAAATACCTAAACATCTGCTCTGAAATAGGAACGACCTTTATCACTTAATCTAGTCTCCACGGAGTAGAACAGCGTTTGATGATGGGACCATTCGTTGGGGAATTTAAGGAAAAAGGTCGTTTTTTTATCACGAACAGATTTTTATGCCTAAACGAGAAAGGCTCTTGGGAACAACTACCACAGAGATGTCATATACGTATAGGCAAAATAATAATAATGATTGACTGAAAATTTATAATTGTGGATACGAATAACAACTTATTACTTTTTTAATAAATTTTACACACAAAAATACATACAGCCGAATATAGTACCTGCTCCTTTTTGGAAAGCGGTGAAATATAACACAAACTCATAACGTTATTAAAACAGATTTGAGGACGGGACGGCAACGATGGCGCAGTGGTTTAAGCGGTCGCCACGCCGCTTCCTACTGCGCCGAGTGTTGCGGGTTCAAACCCCGCATGGGACGACACTTTGTGTGACCCACAGATTGTTGTTCTGAGTCTGGGTATTCTTTGTGTCCGTTTCATGTATGTTTGTAAAGTCCCCCGCGATACAGGGTATATTCCTAATGCGGGAGTTGTCTTTTTAAAAGAAAAGAAGAAAGAAGATTTAATCTGATTAAAAAAAAAACAAAGATTGATTACACTGATTACAAATTATTAATATAATACGAGAAATTACTAAAACTATATTTCGATAGTTTCAATTTAACAATCTGTCTGCGAGTTGATTGCTCCTTTATTTTCATCTACGAAGATAATTTAGTTCAATTCGGTGAAAAGACCTGATGATTAATAAAGTTTTGGAAATAATCAAAATATGAATAGAATGTTTTTATGAAGTCATTTTATTTTTTGTGGCAGTTTTTTTAAGAAAAGATAAATTTACGAAATTATGCATACAATTTATTTTATTAAGGGACACACACACAATAAACATCAAATTAAACAATTCAGCTTTTCTGTGCACACAATTTAGAGCCTCAATGACGAAAATAAAAATATCTATTCCAACTGCATTTGGAATGCTGAGTTATGAGCAACATCACATATTAAAAACAATATTATTAAACTAAATTTTTAGTACGTTAAAACAAGACTATTCTTCACTCTTCAATTGTCTAACCAACTAAATGGGAAGTACAACTTAAAATCGAGTTCTGAGGTAACAAACGTAAAAAATACAGCCGAATTGAGAATCTCCTCCTTTTTGTTCGAATTTTTTAACTTAAATTCGATTAAAAGGATTTCTCTTTAAAAATTTAAGTACCGACTGAAAGATGTAAAGCTACAACTATAAATAGAATCACGGCCCTTATTAAATTTCTTACCTTCATAATTAACATACAACCTTGTCGTAATACAATCTACGTCACTCACCAGACGATACTGAGCGAACATTAATATTTGACAGGGGCGCGGCCGCCCCCAAAATACACCGGGTAAAATTGTAATAAAGTATTTATTACAATTTTACTCAAAGGGCTTCTGTTGTTTTGAAATGCAGTTTAAACTTAGAAACAAAACATAGCTAATGAAATATTTCCTTTAATTTTGATTTCTTAAACGCCAGCTCTGTATTGGTAAACCTTTTAATTTAAAATCTCTTTCTTATACAAACAGCATTTTAACATTAAATTTAACATGTGGCAAATTTTCGGCAGCTAAGTACGAGTATATAAGATTATTCCTAAATTAATTACTGACCTATCAAAGAGCTTTCTGTATATTTATATTTCTGAAAGGTACTAGGCAAACGATACTTATCATCCTCTTCATCAAAGGAGTGCCAACCAGGGTTTTGGGCAATGCTCATCCATTCGCTGCCAGCCATTTTCTTTAAGTTGTCGTTCTATCGTGCGATACATGTAACAGTAGGAGTTGTAAATATTATTATTTCATTTACATCCCTGTAAAATATCCTTATAAAAATATATCCTTTATTTCTAGGAACAAGGATAATATTATTGTACTGCCTTTGTTTTTGATATGTATATATAAGATAAGGGAGCGAGTGAGTGTGTGCGTGAGTGAGCCAGTGCGGGTAGGCTCTAAACGTATCTATGTACCAGATCGGTAGCGTGTTGAAGACACCATTAAAAGCACCTGTAACTGGCGAGCGTGGGTGACAGTTCTAATGTATGTTCAAAAAGCGTGCACTGGTGTTGTTCAATCGTTTTTGCCTACCTCGACAGAGGATGAGACGTGATATATATATATATTTATATAAGGAGAGTTGGCGTCAGACTGATGACATCCAGATAAAAAACAAGCCAAGCCCCATTGCAATGTTACCCAAAGCGCCTACGCCAAGAGCCATTACAATGGGCCATGTCTTCCTATGTTTACTTTGCTCTTTGGGCCATGTATAGTTCGAATGGCGAATTAATATTATATCTGACAATATTTGTATATGAAGGTACAAAGCTTTAAATATTGCTGTTTTTTAATATTTAATTCATTTTATTACAGAAACGTTTTAAATATAATTAGTTAATTTTAAATTGCCTGTAACATAGTTCTAAACAAAAAAAAAACAAAATAAAATCAGTTCATCCGTTCGTTAGCTACGATGCCACAGACAGACACACACACAGACACTTCAAACTTATAACGTATACCTTATAACGTTTTTGCGTCAGTGGTTAATTATAAAATTTATTTGTTTAATAAAAGAGAGTAGTTGTTATAATCGTTGAACAATCTATAAACAGAGATCGTCATAGTGAAAAGTAAACATTAGTAAACTAGCCACTACAAGGTTAAACCAAGTAATATATATGTATACCTAAAACAAACATAATTAACTTTTAAGTTCGTTTCCTCGGATTTTGCAGGCAAAGAACTTATTACAGTG